CGCGCCCCGTGCCCCACCCCCCCCCTGCCCCCACCCGGGAAGGGCCTTGCCCTGCCGCCAGCTTGCCTCAGTCTCGGGCCGCTGGGAGCCGTTGGGAGGGCCGTTGCCGCCGGGAGGGAGGGCGGGTGGCACTACTCCTTTTCCACAGCCTCCACCCTCCACGAGGGGACGAGAGGCTCGCGGGATCCCGCACCGCTGCCAGGTGTCTCAGTGGCGAAGTGATCCCGCATCCCTCTTACTTCCCTGGTAGAAGCACGCAGTGGGCGGGTGGCGGCTACTGACTGGACATCGGCTCTGTTCTGTCCCGAGCTCGTAGGGCGTTGAGCCGGCAAGGTCTGCAGGCTAGCTGAGGGGCCTTGGTGGGGAAAGGGCGGCTGGGGAAGCTTACTGGTCCCCAGCACAGGGAATAACCTGCTCCTGAAAGTGGGGACCGTCGTCAGGATAAGTGTCTTCAACTGTAGTTCTCAAAAACGTTCCCCGTTTCTCTGGATTCTATCCCAAGTCTTGTGAAAAGGCTGCAAATTCCGAGGCTGTTGAGTGGGTAAAAGACAAAGGAGGAAGCTGAAGACCTGCTTCCTGATGATCGTGAGAGTCATGCTGCTCTGATGGTACTTTAGGCAGAACGCTTAGAATGAGAATTATCTTAATCTATGGCTGAGATACTTGATAATGGCGACTTTGATGATACAACGGTTACTTTTTTCAGAAAGCTGCCCTTACTCCTCCAAAGCAAAAAAAAAAAAAAAAAAAAAAAGTTACGTTGTTTAAAGTTCAGAGTGAAGGTCTGAGTTGTAACTATTCCCATTATACTACCACTTTCTCAATTTCCAGATTAAGTGGCTATGCTTGTGGGATAGAGAAAAACTTGCCACGGTCTGAAGGAAAAGGTCGATTGTATCTTTTTCCTATATGAAGTTGGCAGAACATCATTTAAACAAGCCACTGTGTTAGAGGTTTCATGCTACTTTAGTAGTGACTAAAAGGTCACTTTTTACTTTCTTGACTTAGTTACAGAATAAGTGTCTTGTTTCAGTCACAGACTGAAATCTAATCGGGGCAAAAAGATGTGTTACTAATTGATATATGGTGGTACCATTGTTCTGTATCTGCCTAGAACTGAGGAGTAAATGAGGGTGGAGTTCCATGGCATGACTTGGCTGCTGCCAAAACAGCCCTGCCAACCTTTGCTAAGCTACCACTTTTCTGACCTCAGTAGTGTCCTCCATCTTGCCATTCTTTTTCTGATCAGTTAGTTTTGCCAGATTAGTTAGCTGAACCAGCTTGGAGAGAAGAGTGAGGATTGGCACAGATTGTATTTTTTAGTAGCAGCAAGCCATTACTAGCTTAGCTAGGCTGAAACCTGATCCTAAATTAGGTCACTTTATCTCAGGCTTCTGAATCGCAGGTTCTTGGCACGTTTTCTTGGAAACCTGAATCTCCCTGAAGTTGGAAAGATAAAACTTTTTTTTCTTTCATTTATTCAGTTACTGCTGCATCTGCTATTGCCAACATTGTGAAGAGTTCTCTTGGGCCAGTTGGTCTGGATAAGATGTTGGTGGATGATATTGGGGTAAGTAAGCTTTCATTAAGTGTCAGGAGGACTTTTACAACATTCCTGTGTAAAAGTGCTTCCACTTAGTGTGCTTCATAGATCAAATGTGCACATACCTGTTTTTTTCCATGGTTCTGAGAGGGGGTGGGAGGAGAAAATTGAGCATGCTAGCTATCAGGTAACGTACACTACATCGCTTTAATTTAATCTAGTACTGTAGTTTGTGTAGTACAGTTGTCTCCGTACAGCGCATGTAAGTTCTTGTCACCACTTACAAGTATTGGTCAAATTCACAGGAATGAGTATCACCATCGATGTCGGGCCTTGTGATGGTGTTGACTTGTGTATCCCAATCTCTGCATTGGGAGGAATAACATAAAAATGAATTCCAATAATTCCATAACCATTTTAAAGCAACATTCCATATTTCAGGTTTTAAAATATTTAAAGCAAATGAGGAAAGTTTGCCATTTTACAGGCTGCTGTAATAAAACACTATATTAGAGGGTATTCTCTGCACTACTACTTATCTGGTATGTGCGAAACGTTTGATGAGTTTCTGTAACATAAAGACTTTTCTGATAAAAAGAAAGTGCAGATTCTGCACTGGTAATACTTCTGTTGTTCGAATGGGACTCCTGAATAAAAAGCAGCAGTAAACATTTGGTATAAATAGTTATTTTATGGGCATTCACAAAGAATAATTAACTTTCATTTGCATAAACATTATGAAACACAACAGTAAAAACATAATAGAAATATACTTTGTATTAACATTTGATTTCTGAAAACTAGGACGTGACCATTACTAATGACGGTGCAACCATTCTGAAACTGCTAGAAGTGGAACACCCTGCTGCAAAAGTTCTTTGTGAGCTGGCAGACTTGCAAGACAAAGAAGTTGGCGATGGGACAACATCAGTGGTACGTAGAAAGTTTTACAGGCAGATAACACCAAAAGTCAGTGTTTCAGTATCATAGTGCAGCTTTTGATTTATCCGTTACGAATCTTGATGCAATGTGGATCTACTATACAGAATGAAAAACCTTGCAGTTGACTGAATATAAAGTTTTTTGAAGTAGGTTACAGAATAAAGAAATTAGACTTGTGGTTTTTTAGAGATGCTTGTTTCCATACGCAGCTGGTGCTCTGGAATGGAATTTGCTTACTGCAGTTTCATTATTTATTTTTTCCTTTCTTGAAGGTTGAGAATAGATTCTGAATTAAGGTTCTTAATTTTTAACAACCATGAGAAATTAAAGTGTTAGGACTAATAAGGATGCTGAGTGTTGAAAACTTGCCTAAGACTTTTGACAGCTGGGGGGGGGGGCGCGGAATCAGGTGGCTTTTACCTGATGTCAGAAACTAATTCTAGGTTGCGAGTACTTGTTTCCACTGAGTAGACATTGGACAACTACTTGTGATTCTACTTTCCACTTAGTGGCAACAGGTAGTTATTTTGCTTGTATGAAATACATGTATTTAGTGTTTGTATTTCAAACAGGTAATTATTGCTGCAGAACTTCTAAAAAATGCAGATGAACTAGTGAAACAGAAAATTCATCCTACCTCCATTATTGGTGGATACCGACTTGCTTGCAAGTAAGAAACTAATACAGTTGAAGTACATTGCGTTTTTTAAAGTACAATAACTGCATGCTTTTTGTTTATTTCTCTATTTGTGACTGCATTAATACAGACTTCTCAGTGCAAAGTGGATACGGTGTTTTGGTTTGGGTGTGTGTTTTGGGCTTTTTTTTGTTGGTTTGGTGTTTTGGTTTTTTTAATTTATTTTGAATTTCTGTAGTCTCACATAGAAATGTCACTTTACTGTCCTAGAAGATGAATTGATTTCATCCCTGTGTTCTTTGAGATAACGTTTAGAAGGGCTGAAAACATGTAAGATTTTTGTCTTTGTGGGGGTGGAATTCTTTACCAGTATTTATCTTTATTCTACAGGGAAGCAGTTCGTTACATCAATGAAAATCTTATTATTAACACAGATGAATTGGGCAGGGAGTGCCTAATTAATGCTGCTAAAACATCAATGTCCTCTAAAATTATAGGAATGTATCCTTTAACTCCATCAAGTTATTCAAGTGACAGTGATTGATTGGAGAGCTTGAGTAGCCAGGCTAGTTTCCTCTGCAGCAGTTTTTATGAATGGGGTATAGTGTGCAATCTGTCGTTTTTATAACGGGTGTGAAAAACATTTCACAGATGATATTATGTGGCATGGGAAAACGTGTCCGGACTCTTCCAGTTTATTTAGACCTGGTTAGGCACATCACAATAGCTTAACAGTGTATTGTTTCCTTACAACATTGCATGTTAGTGAGACTAGATAAGGAATTGTGTGAATGGAAGAACGCGTTACAGAAGTCAAGTACCTGGGGAGTGAAACTAGGGGAAAGAAGGTTGTGTTTTACTTCATAGTCATAGAAAAAGCTGCATTTTTAGCCTTTGTGCCAACAAGGGAATGCATGTTTCAGCTTTAAGAATTACTCATTCCTTTAAGGGAATGGTAAAGAAAGCTAGCACTTCTATACCTTTCTGGAGTTCTTTGTTGGAAACAGTTTTTGAGTCTCAGTTTGGGCACTGTCAGCAACTTTTTTTTTTCTTAAGCATAATACTAGTTTCTTCTTCAGTTTTAACCTTAACAGCATTGTAGTGATGGTGATTTCTTTGCTAATATGGTGGTGGATGCTGCACTGGCAGTTAAATATACAGACCAGAAGGGTCAGGCTCGGTATCCAATCAACTCGGTTAATGTTTTGAAGGCACATGGCCGCAGCCAAAAAGAGAGCATACTTGTGAACGGTTACGCTCTGAACTGCGTGGTGGGCTCACAGGGTAAGAACATGCTATGTTTCATAAAGCTTTTGTGTGAACTCGGTCGTCTTAGTCTTTCTGCGTGGATCTTCTTACTGAGTGCATTAGTTGCAAATCACTTGGGTTTTTAATTCCAGAACAATTAAACAAGATCACAAAAAACCCTCGCCACTTCACCAGTGGTTTCTAGGCTAGGGTCTGCCAGCTAGTAGTGATCCACAAAGTGTTGGTAAGTTACTGTAGTTTCGCTAGCCCAGTATCAGCACGGTAACACTGTCACCTTCTGGAGCATAAGCACCTCCCTTGTGGGGAGCCACTGTCAGGTTTGTAGGACACTTACTTTTAGCAGAGCTGTGTTGTGATTAGGTAACCTAAAGGATGCGAGACTGATGGGTCAGCTTTCCATGCTCATTCATGTTTTGGGGATGGGGTCGATAAAAAGGTAACAGGTTATAGTAGAGATTTCTTAAAAAAAATTCTCTCTTTGAAAGTCTTTGTTAGTGTTTTTCTGTTCTAGGGCAGAACTGGAGGCAGAGAAGCAAACTGAATAGAAATCTGAAATGTGAAAGCAGCGTTAGTTTTCATCTCTAATTCCAACTTGATGTTCTGTTGACTTGATTGGGCAAAATCCTTTTTCTTGTTCTCTCTCGTCAGGTATGACCAAGAGAATAGTTAATGCGAAGATTGCATGCCTTGACTTCAGCCTGCAGAAAGCAAAAATGAAGCTTGGTGTTCAGGTTGTTATCTCAGACCCTGAGAAGCTGGACCAGATAAGGCAAAGGTGTGTGGCAGCGTGAATAACTGAGACAGTGGGGTTTCACAGGCTTGTTTTGGTCTCTTCAGTTGAGGTGGCTCGATGTAATTTTGGCTGAGCGCAAGAGGTAAAAATGTTTTAAATGTTAACATTTCCCAACGATACCAAATATTAATGGTAAAAGTCTTCATTTTTGGAGGCAGAGCTACTACTAAGTCAGTTTTAGAGAAATCCAAGTATGTTTGTGCAATGGTTCCTTCTCCTTGCAGAGATCTACATTAAGTTTTCAGGAAATTGGTTAACAGAATGTGATTGTAGACTTCTAAATCCATTTTTATAGCTTTGACATTATCCTTGTAGAGAATCAGATATTACCAAAGAAAGGATCCAGAAGATTTTGGCCACTGGTGCCAACGTCATTCTCACCACTGGAGGTATTGATGATATGTGTCTGAAATACTTTGTTGATGCTGGTGCTATGGCAGTACGAAGAGTTGTAAAAAAGGACCTTAAGCGGATTGCTAAGGCATCAGGAGGTATGTATATATAAAAATATCTCTTTCCCCTCCCCCGCTTTTTTTAAGTAAAAGCTGCTGTTAAGGTACTAGTAACTAATTTTCAAAACATGGCTTCTTAACATGCAAGCCATGCAAGGAGAGGATGAGTAGAGCTGAGCCACTCTTGTTTGGTTTTAACTTTACTGTTGCTTTTAAGTGACCATTCTGTCAAAGTAGATGAGTACCGTAAGAGCTGACTGAAGATTTACAGTGCCGCTTTTTTTAAGTAAAAGCTGCTGTTAAGGTACTAGTAACTAATTTTCAAAACATGGCTTCTTAACATGCAAGCCATGCAAGGAGAGGATGAGTAGAGCTGAGCCACTCTTGTTTGGTTTTAACTTTACTGTTGCTTTTAAGTGACCATTCTGTCAAAGTAGATGAGTACCGTAAGAGCTGACTGAAGATTTACAGTGGGGGAAAAAAATGCAGCCTTGCAGGGGGAAGATTGTCGACTTGAGGAAATGGGAGCCAGAATCTATATTTATTTGTCTTTATTAAGCACACATTCAAGCCTCTGTAACATGCAAGCCATGCAAGGAGAGGATGAGTAGAGCTGAGCCACTCTTGTTTGGTTTTAACTTTACTGTTGCTTTTAAGTGACCATTCTTTCAAAGTAGATGAGTACCGTAAGAGCTGACTGAAGATTTACAGTGGGGAAAAAAATGCAGCCTTGCACTGGGAAGATTGTCGACTTGAGGAAATGGGAGCCAGAATCTATATTTATTTGTCTTTATTAAGCACACATTCATAAGCCTCTGTTTGGAGAGTTGTGTTAAGTACCTTGTTTAGATAGTTCAAGCCAAATGAAGAATTCCTAAATCATTAAATACATACTGAAAAAAAATCTGGTCCTATACAGATTTTATCTGTCAATCGTTAAATTTGCAAGAAAGCATTTTCATTATGGTAAAGCACAGGAACTTGTACTAGCTGTGGAAAAGTAAGTGCTATAAAGGTTGAGCAAAAAGAGCAGTGTCAGTTATAAAGTACGGAATATTGAATTGCTACCTGAGAATTAGAAGTGCTGTTGAATTTAAGAAAAACCTACTTACGCTGCTTTTATTTCTATTTTGTGGTGTTGTTTTTTTTTCCATATGCCTGTTCTGGGAAGTCGGCAAAGGATGTGCTGGAATTGAATGCTAATTTCACTTTTTTGTTTGTTAAAGCAACCATATGTTCAACCCTTGCAAACCTTGAAGGTGAGGAGAGTTTTGAGGCATTAATGCTGGGACAGGCAGAAGAGGTGATTCAAGAGAGAATCTGTGACGATGAGCTGATTTTAATCAAGAAGTAAGGATCCATTTTAAAATACTCAGTTTTGTGTACACTTTCTACGAAGTTTGAGATAAAACCCCATTTATTTACTTCCATGCTATCTCAGTGGTATGAGTAGTTATACACCTGGGAAAGAGTATACAAGTCCACTGCAAATTAGAGGTGAAAGTATCAGTATTTGATCTCTTCTGCTGGGGCTGGACACCTGTTTCATCAACCTTAATGTGAGACAATCAGATTGCTAGGTAGACTTAAAACTTTGTTGATGAACAAATTTTTCTAAAATTTACAATAAAATTCTATTAAATTGCTAGAGACATTATTACAGCATTCATATCGCGTTCCTTTACCTGGCTTTTAGCAGTATAGTCACACTGGCTTCCCCTTATAGACAGTAAAGGGAAATAGGTACCATCTGAGTAAGAAGGAGCAAGCTAGACCTTGCCATTTATAGTGGAAGACAGGGTTTACTTGTGCTGGTTTCATTGAATCAGTCATCTGCTTGGTAGTATGAAGTGGACCACATTGTTAAAAGGGTATTTTTTTAGGGTTGTTTTTAGTGGGTAAGAAGAGCAACGGTTACTAACTGTCCACACACATGGTATTTTCCCTTGAAGTTTTTTGTATGCCATTGCTGTCTGGTACCTGAAGACTCCAGCACCAGTTTGTTTAACAAGAGCATACCTTGGATATTAACTTTCCCACTGCTTCAGTATCCTTTTTCAGTGTTCAACTTCCTGTAGTCTCATTTGTGTGTGTGAATGAAATACTCTGACCATGGCACTTGTGTGGCAGTTACATGACTGCTTATACTGTAACGTTCGCAGCCATTAGCTCACTTGATGGCTGTGCAAGAGAGAACTCTCCTAATATCTAATGACATTTTCCCCTTACTTGATGGGAAAACACCTTGTCTGTCAGGTAGCTTTCTCTAAAAGACTAAAGCTCAAACTAGGTTCTTGCATATTAGAACTTAAAATACTGACTTACCAAGTTCAATGTAGATGTCCTGCAAGGGTGTATAACAATGTTAAGATTTTCTTTTAAACGTTGAAAGAATCTGGCTCAACTGAACTTGGCTTTAGAAGAAAAACTTTAGCAAGAAGAGTTGTAATTTACATTCTGTTCAACACAGCTGACTTCTGATTCCTTTTTTCCCTAGTACAAAGGCTCGTACTTCAGCATCAATTATCTTGCGAGGAGCTAATGACTTCATGTGTGATGAAATGGAACGATCTATACATGATGCTCTCTGTGTTGTTAAAAGGGTATTGGAATCCAAGTCTGTTGTCCCAGGTGGTGGTGCTGTAGAGGCAGCACTTTCAATATATCTTGAAAATTATGCAACCAGCATGGTAAGTCAGTCTTGCACAAAGACGTAACTGTGTGTATGTGTTAAATTAGGATAATGTGAATTTTCAAGCATTTATTTTATTCTACTAAAAGTTGATTCCGTGGCTCATGAAAAAGTAATCATCTTACAGAACGTAAGATGCTTCTTTAAAATGGAGGATATGAGTTACTCTTTCTCTGCTAATTAGACTGTGTGGTTCTTCGGCCTAAAAATAGGTTTTGCATGTGAAAACCCCTGTCTACTGTTGACACTCTTGATTGTGGCTGCGTATTTTCCTCTTCTGTTACAGCAGTTGGTTTAAAAACTTTTTCCTCTTCCTAGGGATCACGTGAACAACTTGCAATAGCAGAATTTGCAAGATCCCTCTTAATCATTCCAAATACGTTGGCAGTAAATGCCGCTCAAGATGCGACAGATCTCGTTGCGAAGTTGAGAGCGTTCCACAACGAGGCTCAGGTTAACCCAGATCGCAAAAATCTGAAATGGCAAGTATCCCTGTGTAGGCAGGCTATTGAAAGTGAAGTGGGCTGGTGACTTAGATGGAAAATTGTGCTGCCAGTTTACTGACCTGTGATTTGCATGTAAAAAAAGGGTGCAGGAAGTCACCGACTTTTCTTTCTCCGTCCTTCAGTCCCGTATGCGTCACTGGGACCCAGTAGGCAACAGCGTACTCCCACCTATATTTCTACTTTTTCTACCTCTCCATCTGACTGTTTCTTCTTTTCAGGATTGGTCTTGACTTGATCAACGGAAAACCTCGCGATAACAAGCAAGCCGGTGTCTTTGAACCAACCATGGTCAAAACTAAGAGCCTGAAGTTTGCAACAGAAGCTGCAATTACTATTCTTCGAATTGATGATCTTATTAAACTGCACCCTGAAACTAAAGAAGAGAGAGGGTGCTATGAGGATGCAGTTCACTCTGGAGCACTTGAAGAATAACTTAGGTTTTATTTATGTTTGTCTAACTTACACTTCCCACTCTTGTAACTAAAATGTTAATAAAACAAGTGGTTGAATGCTGCTGCTATTTTCTTGTGAACAAATTAATTTTTGAAAGTGAGGTTGGTCCTTGCGGTGAGAATTTAAGCTCTAGCGTGTGTCAACAACTAGAGCGCCTGCAGTAGCCACCAATCTTCCTGTCATGGCAATGACTGAGTGGCACAAAGTAATGGAGTAAGCTTATTTAATTTTAGGCAAAACAAACAAACGAACGTAAGCTCCGTGACTGGAAGTTTATTAGTAAACTGTTTCAAAGCTAGTTAGCACTAGCTAGTCAGTCATTCACATTCATCTCTCAACACACATGGCTATTCCCATTCCCCCTCCTATACAGAGAGCAGCAACACCACGTTTTCCACCTGTTCGTTCCAGTGCGTGTAGGAGAGTAACGAGGATGCGACAACCAGAGGCGCCAAGAGGGTGGCCAAGAGCAATAGCTCCACCTTGGATATTAATCTAGAAAAAAAAAAATACAGAAGGTCAAGTTAAGAAGTCATTTAGCTAGCTTATTTGAGTTTCGACATGAATGACTTCACTGGATATAGTACTTGATCATGAGTAAGCCTGAAACTGCTACCACCATTTCAAGGAGAAATTGAACAGGAATACAACAGCTGTTATAATTAGTATTTCTTCTGAAAGGGGCCCATCTTTACTCTCTGAAGATAATTAAGGTGATAATTGAGGTGAATTTAGGGAGGGGAGAGTAATACCTGCATTTTTTCCCATCACTGGAAGAACACAGCGGCAAATACACTTCCAGCAGCAAGTTCAGATTCTGAAGTTAGTTACAAGTATGCCCAAGCGGTTCTCTAGAGTCGCATACGCTGTCATACAGCTGTAGCCTGTTTGGCTGGGAAACAACGTGCCTGCTAGCAAAGCAAGCCTGCGCCAGAGCAGCCTAGGGAAATGCCTGCCCATCCTTTTTGCTTACGGCAAAGTGACTGCAAAAGGACTGTTCTCACCTTTGAATACAATCCAGATGCACAGACTGGAACAACTTTGAATTGCAGGAGGCAAACTAATAATGGCCTCAGATATATTCATTACCTTTTCTGGGTTTACTTTCAGTTCTTTTGCTATTGCAACAGATAGCGATGCAAAGGCTTCGTTAATTTCAAACAGGTCAACTTGTTCCAGAGTCCAGCTGGCTTTGTCAATCTGACAAAAACAAAATAAATAGAGGCTTTATTATCTTTTAGCTTTTCCTCGGCACCGGAGGAAGCTTTTCGTAAGACTTAAGTTGGTTGATTTGAAGCCACCACTTCTAAAAAGTTGAAGGAAACAGATTTTTTTTTTTTTTATAGCCAGGGTTGATGACAGAATTCTTGAAGACAACAGACAAAATTTCACTGTCGGCAAAAGTCAGTACAATGTGCTATAACGTGCTGGCTGCTCTTAAAAAATCTTGACCGATTTTACACTCGTGGTGGTGCAATTGTGGGAATCAAACCCTATGTGGTGCCCTTAATAGAACAAGCACTGTTTTCAAAAATAGGTTTTAACAGATTAAAAGCAAGTTTTTCAGGACATAAGTCTGATTCCATTAGAGATTCTCTGCAAGCCAATACAGATTTTTACACAGGAAATAGTGAAATGACCACTAGCAATGGCTGCCAAAGTGTAATTCATCCAGTCTCTCCTGCTTTTAAGTTTAAAGTTGCCACTTGAAGCTTTTCACAGGCGGCTATTTTGAAAGGTGGTTTGGCTCATGTTTTCACTTGAGAAACTCTTGTGGTGCAATTGCCTGCTTGGGTGCAGGCTTAGGCATGTTTCCCATATTTGCATTTTTACTTCCACTCACTGTAACAGCAACGCTTTATCAGCAGAATCGTCTGCAGCAATGACGTTTCACAACCAGCTAGCCAGGCTGGTGCATCTCCAAGACCATAGTCAAGGAGGAGGGCCTCTCTCTACCAGATATTATAGAGACAGTATGGAAACCGTTCACGTTCTGGGAAAAGTCTTATCTTTTAAAGATTTACTATGTCGTTGCAACACTAAAATGCACGACTGACTTAGTCATTCTCTCGCTATAAAGTGCTACCATGAAATTCTGAAGAGATAAACTAATAATATATGGAGGGTGTGAAGTGTTTGAAAACATACATTACAAAGTTTACATTAAGAAGTAGTGTGCCCTTTTTCAGAGCACCTATATTTTTTACAGGTACAGTTACATACAGCTTATCTGTTCTACAATTTAAACTAAAAATGTGTATTGTATATACATTTATAGCATTCTGGATTTAAAAGAACAGTTTGAGATGTGATAAGAAAAAGCTTCAGCATTACAGTTCTGATTTTCCCATTAAAAGCCACAGAGCTTAGGTGAGTTCAAGTTAGGCTTCTGCATTGCCAGGACATTTCAGAGATGAACAAAATAAAGCCTTTACGCAGTATAAAAACTAAGAAGGACTACTAAAGCAAATCTATCCTTATCAGCCGTACAAGAGCTCTTTCCATGCTCAGCTTCATAGCTCAGTTTTAGCAACTCATCAGCTGGGGTTGCCATGGGCTAAGTCTCTATTAGCAAGCAGCGTGGTACCATAGGAGCTGCTCACTCAGGGCATTTTATTTGAGAACCTTGTCCTGTGGACTGAACACAGAGCGCATCAGTGGGTGCAATAATGGTCTGAGCACATTAGATGTGGTTTTGGAGTGCACCTTCTTGTTTAGTTTCATCTGAAAGGAATCCAATTTGCATGCTCCAACCCTTTCGCAGGGCAAACCAAAACACAAAGAGCACCATCACATTTGCTAATGCAGAGGCACTCACCGGCCCTTCTCTCAGTGTTGTACTATTGCAAACACAATCAGGCAGTGATCTGAAAGTTAACCTGGACAGACACAGCATCAGAACCATATCATGGCAGAAACAAATCATCCCCAAATTAGGTTAGTATATACACATCCATGAAATTTATCTTTAGCCTCCTAGGTTATCTAGGCGGCCTTTCACAAACCTGACTAGTTTATATTCTGAACTCCATTTGTACACCTATACATTTTTTTTTCCCCAACAAGTAGGCACTAGCCTGGTAGCACTAGAAATCTTGATCTTATATACTCCCACTATTTTAAGTCTTGTTTTCACTTAGTTTATTTTTTCTATTAAGTTCTCCTTAGAATGTAGAAAAACCAAGACATGGCCAGAAAATGAAAAGCAATTACAAGCAAGGGTTTTTAAATGATAGATAGAAAAACAGATAATTACTTACAGCTTGCTTTATTGCTGAAATGGGTCCTACTCCCATTATAGATGGATCTATACCTGTCTGAGCCCAAGATACAACCCGAGCCAAAGGCATAAGACCTCTCCTAGCAGCTTCCGATTTCTTCATTAGTATTACAGCTGCAGCTCCATCATTTATACCTGTGGAATGACAAAAAACTTTTATGTATTTGTTGGGTTTTATGGCTTTTACTGTACCACCTTTTCCTGCTTGCCTAAGTTCACAATCTAGACAAAACAAAAAAAATCACAAATCTTTTATTGGTTTAGGTCAGTATTTTTTTTCAGATCAGCCAAGTCTGACCTCTGACACAAACACTTAAAATGGGTAACATATCTATACTGCTGTAAATGTGACACATTTGTGATTTCTATTCAGAAAGCAGCAGGTGGAAGAGTTGAGACACCATCTGAAAAAAGACCACATCAGATTTATTAGGTAGAGTTTGGAAGAGGCGGCATAAGGACCGATGAAGACGTTTCAAAGCTGCCCGTGGCAGGAGAGTTAGTCCTACAGGAGTAACATTTTCAAACATGAATTAAGTTTTCCTTTGTCCAGACCTGCAGTATTAGAAACCACCAGACAGCTAGTTTTAAAGAGAGAGGATGTAGTTTCTCTTTGTTCCAGACTATCAAATACTGCTGTTATTGTCCAAACTCTTGTATTGCTTCATAGAAAGCAAGCAAACAAAAGACAACTTGTCTGTAAAGAAATCCTCCACCACAGTTATATTCGAGTTCTACCTATGTTGTCAAACACATTGCCGTTTTCTGCAAAATATATTCAGCAGTAACCACACGGCAGCCAACCCCTCGCAGAGACCCTGCCTTCAGCCACGAGCAGCTACTGTTCTTTTCCATTTCAGTTTTAGCCAGCAGACAGACCAACCTGAAGCATTAGCTGCTGTTACTGTCCCAGTTCCGTCTGTCAGGAAACAGGGCTTTAGCTTTGCCATTGTTTCCAAGTTGCTCCCATGTCGAGGGTGTTCATCTGTTTTAACTTCTATAGGACCTGAAAAACAGAGCATTATACTCATAGGAGGGTCTAATCGCGTGCACTTGTCTCGAACAGAAACCTGGCACAAACAATAGGCTGATAGGGAGTATATGCCATATTCCTTTTAACCAACCAGCCATTCTGTCGGAGACAGCTTCCAACTCAGTGCAATTTGTTAAAGCTCCCTCCAGCTGCTTCTAGCAGGACAGACAGCTGGGTTTTCTGAGACAAACACCAAGAACTAAAATACTGCCTAGTTGTACAAAAGCAGATCTTGTTCTTGCTGTTCCTCTTCTTGCAAAGAGCAGTCAGGTGTCATTAAACACTATTATCTAAACTGGTATCAGGAAAGCCCTTCATTAGTTTGTAACTGGCCTAACGCCAGAACTTTTCCCACAGGGTCTATTCAATGCAAATGTTGAACAACCGATTCTTGATTTCTGTTTGGAAAATTCAGTTTTTGCATCCACCTCACAAGGAGCTGGGGGAATTCTCCTGCTCCTGAAACAGACCTTTGGCTCAAGCACCGTAATAGGTCTGTTTATATCCCTAACAGACCTAAAGAGAAACATACCTAATATATGTAACCTGACCCAGTTAATTAACTAGTAGCCCTAATTATTGTCACTGTGTATTTTACTAGGTGGGCAAGGATTGCCAGATCAAGATGACTGTTTTAAGTTTGGTGCAGCAGGAGTCTAACGAAACAAAAATACTGATTTTGGTACCATATCCGAGCCTATGTTAAGTCAGCGGTTTGCCTGGGTACTAATTACATCCCCAATAAAACATAGTAGCAGTATTTGCAGAGAGCTACATTTAGATATTCCACATTTGCATTGTTTCTCTCTTATTTCAAAAAATAACCACTGGAAGTTGGAAAAGAGAGCAACAGGCTACATGCTTACAGAACAGCTTACAGAAAAGGCTGTATAACTGGGAAACCATCCACTGATCACAGCAGACATAGCAGAAAACAGATTTTTCTTTTAAAATCAGCTCTCATTATCCATTCACACCTACCTTTTTTAGAAGGTACAAGAACAGGAACAATTTCTTTTGTAAAATAGCCAGCTTTCTGTGCTGCCTCTGCCCTGTTTTGTGACTGTACAGCAAGTTGGTCTTGTTCCCCTCTGCTGACTTGCCACCGATTGGCCACATTTTCAGCTGAAATAGGACCAAAATGCAAACTGCCATCAGAAAATGCTAAAATTCTAAGTAGTAAAATTGTAAGCACAAAGGTAGTCATTAGTATTTGCTGTAGCAAGCAGCTAAGCTTGTTGAACAGTTTTCATTCTGATTTCCTCATTTTGTTTGCTCACGAGTCTCTATTTTCCTTTGAGGGTGAAAATATCTGTGCAGGATCTCCTCCCAGATGGTATACCAAGTTAAATACAAATGCAAGCAAGCTTTTCTAGTTTATTGCTTCTCTGGATTATTATGCTCAGATCTCTCTACAGCTACTTCAGAGGAGGGAACAGTTCTGAGGTTACTGTTTCATAAGCAGGGTCTGAAAAAGCAGTTGGCTGACTATCCCGTCCAGGATGCAATAACCTGAAATTGCAGAACCGTGTGTATCCACAGTACACTTTACGTAATTCCCCCCCACTGTAAATCTGTGCTGCTGAATGCTTCAGTTACATACAGGGATTATTTTGTTCATTTTTTCCTGAAATTAAATTAAATTGCTCAGATGCAAAAGAGATGCAGTGAGATTAGCTCAGACAGAAAAAAAAACTCCAAACAGTAGCTTTACAAACAAAGCAGAAAATGCCTTCAATGCCTTTCAATATTAGGGATTTCTTTCTTTTTCACAACTACAACTTCAGGACAGCTTGAAACACCTTATTTGAAACTTCAGATTTCTGAAATTTCTTATCAGTGAATTATTCTCCCCTCCCCAGTTAACCATTTCATTTTCTGGACTGTCACCACTTACCTGTTATACCCATATGATACTGATAAAAAGCATCTGTGAGGCCATCAAGGATTATAGTGTCCTGCAAGGAAGCCTCTCCCATCTTCACTCCAGCTCGCATGTGAATTACATGAGGAGCCTGCAAGAAGGTATTTCAAAAGGAGTTAGATGTTTTCTATCTCCAGTGCACAATACAGCCAGACAGCTGAAGAGACAGACCCCTGCCCTGCGGCTGCAGGTAGCTACCCCAAATCCCGGCAGTCTCCCCAGCTGCCTGCTCCATCTCTCCCCCCGGAGCCTGCCAGCTGGCAGGCTCTGTTTGGCCTGTGCATTTCCCCGGCAGCAGATCACCAAGCACCAAATATTTTCTCTGCACAGATCGAATCAATCGTACCTGGGGCCATACGGCCACGGTTCCCCCACCCTGCCAGTCTGCTCTAGGTGGTTCCCGATCGCACTCCGCTGCCAGCCAACGCCAACATCACTCTCAGCGCGGGCAGCCAGTGAGCCCCAGCAGAAAAGGCCACTCCCTTGTTAGGGATCAGATCACCAGCCCAGCGCCATTCCTCGATACAGCCTTGGGCTGAAAACTGTGAAATGAAAGCCCTTTGCTTCCTTTCCAAGCTCAAATTGCTTGGTAAACAGTAACGTTTCTAGTTATTCTTTCTTTGGGCTTCTTGCAACACAAAAAAACCTGTCTATTGCCAGCTGTCACAAGCAAATCATTCACCACAACAGGGCTAGATGGAAATTAAAATGGAATTTTAAATGTGGTGTGTGTTTGCATGGCACCTTTTCAGTAGCTACAGTATCAGGTCTTTTTTTTTTTTTTTAGAAAAAAAAAAAAAGCTGCTGAAGTCAATTGTTGCATGTGTAAATTCATTCCCAAGTGCAGAAACCGAAGCTCCTCTTTCAATCTGCCTCCAGAGCGTTAGCCTAGAAATGCAGTGTTTCAACATAACTGAATGCTGTTTGCTCCCAGTAAGTCAGCGCAACGCGAGTGCAATCATTTGCTTTACCTTGCTCATACTTTCCATGCCTCCTGCGACCACGATGCTGGAGTCCCCTGTCAGTATGGACTGAGCAGCCAGACATACCGCTTTCAAGCCTGACCCGCAGATCATCTGGCAGCTCCAGGCGGGCACAGAGTAAGGGATTCCTGCAGCAACACTCGCCTGCCGGACGGGGTTCTGGCCGGCACCTGCAGGAACAGGCAGCATTTTTCCTTTGTCTGTTCTTAAAAAACAAATACCGGCCTCGTCACTTTTCACAACAGGTACCCCAATTCCACCAAAATGTAGAGCTCGCTCCTATTTTCAGTTGGTAGACAGAGAAGTTCCCAGCAGTAATCTGTAAACAGGAGCTCAGTTACCTCTCTCATTTATACTGTTGATCAATAAAATACCTGCAAGATCAGGGACTTGCTACTGATAGTTTTATATCTGCAACTCTGCTTTTGATGGCAGGTCAGATGAAACACCAACTTCAAATCAGCACTAGCCTGTTGTACGTGTGCAAGATGAGAGCTCAGTTAAATTGCTACTCGCTGAAGGGTTTCTCTTCGACATCTCCTGTACATCACCAGCAGACAACTTTCCCTAAAAGTTCCTATGGAAACCAAAAGCACCATTATGCAAGGACAGGCCCAAAAGCTTCCATTCTTTGTTGTAAACCTGATGGAGAGAATAGGAACACTACATTCAAAGAAAACATTCTTCATCTGCATCTCCCCAGGCCAAAGTAATGCCAGGTCTTTGTATGTAAAGAAATGGATAAGGAGAGCACATCATTCAAGGAGCTAAAAATACACGGGAATCTGGATCAGCTTTAAGTAAGACAAAGATATTCATTTCCTTTATTTTATTCCTCCACCTTTAAAATACAAACCTGCCCTGTGACTCTGCTGATTAAACATTACCCTGGAAAAAGCAGAGGACTGTTTCAAAACAAACAATTCCCTATCAGCCACATTTTCATTAAATAAAAATATTTGCTTCCAAGCAAGTGGCGTCACAGATCTCGCAGGTCGGTCTTGCAGGTAAACACAAACGCAGGCCTCGCTCTTAAAATCTCAGAATTACCATTACTTATGATGTTCAATTTATGCAATGACCAACGCGAGAGAAGGGATGCTGTAACAAAGAAACTGACTGTCACACACACACTGTTAGTGACTTTGGGGATTTAAAAAACCCCAAACTATCCCCCCCCCATCCTTTCCAAAAACCCAGCAATGGGTTTGGTCATCCAGCGCGTATGGAGGAGCGGCCAGGATGCCGCTCAAGTCCTTTGTTAACGAACCACGTTCTGAATGGCAAGGAATAACGTTCTGAAACAAGAAGCCTGAGCTGTTTCAGTGGGGCAACGAAGGAGGGATGTGGCCGTAGAAAGGAAGAGCCCACCCAGCACCACCCGGCTGCGGGAAGGGAGATCCCCCCGCCGCCCGCGTACCTGCGGTGAGGACCTGCCCCAGGATCACCTCCGACACCTCCTCGGGGGCCAGCC